TTTGATGATCTAGACTTAAGTATTACAGTAACATCAATTTTGCCATAATTACAGGCTTACCCCAATTAAGAGTGAAGGACAACACAATAAGAATACTTTCATTAAAAGTACTATCAACATCATATTGTAAACAAAGCATGTGAAAAGTGATAGATTGTGTTGACCAGTTTCTTCCTTCCAAAGAAGCCCCTTTGCCCAGGAACCCAGGCCCTGCTAGGTTCCAATAGTCACATTCTCCTTATCTGAGATTCTCCTTTGCTACAAAGTGCATGGTACTGGGAAGACTCCATCCAAATTTGACTTTCTTTGGAATGACTGGTCTCAACTAGAGGTTCAAGAACTTAGTAAAAAGCTACTTACAATTAAGGGTGGTAATAAGCTGGGTAGCTTCAACAAAGGCAGGCAGCTTAACAGAGAGAACAGAGAAAGAGACAAGGAAATTCCAGCTAAAATCACTGTCATCCAAAGAAAACATTTATACCCAGGGCTGTACTCTTGGAGGAACAACTTGAGAGACTTAATACTACAGGGAAAATAGATTTTACCAAAATATCCCAGAATGTCGTCAAATAAGTAAGTAAACAAACAAGACTCAGAGAAGGTATGGTAGTTAAGGAGGGAATGAGTGTTCAGAGTTGCTACAATATATTATCTAAAATGCCCAGTTTTCAACAATTGTGAAACATAAAAATAAACAGGAAAGCATACAATAGACATTACCAGAGAAGTTGCAGATATCACCTTTAACAGACAAAGACTTCAAAGCAGCTATTATAAATGTGCTCAAAAAATTAAAAAAAAATGTGTAAAGAAGTGAAGTGTGATGAAAACGTCACATCAAATAGAGAATATTAATAAAGAGAAAAATTACACTAAAAATCACCAAACAGAAATTTTGGAGATGAAAAGTACAATTATGGAAATCAGAAATTCACTAGAGGAGATGAACAGTAGACTTCAACTGAGAGAGTAAAGAAGCCATGAACTGGAAAATGGGTAGAGTTTATGCAGTCTGAAGAACAAAAAGAAAAATAAATAAAGGGAAATGTGAGATACCATCAAGCACATGAGTATACATATAATGAAGCACCAGAAGGAGAGAGAAAGGAAAAAAATATTCAAAGCAATAATGGCTATAATCCTCCTGCATTTGAATAAATACATTAATTGACAAATATAAGAAGCTCAACTAATTTCAAGTAGTATAATGAAAAATTCAGTCCCAGACACCTCATAGTAAAAACTTGAAAATTTTCAAAGAACAGTAAGACCTTGGTTGAGTAAATTGTGATCTTGTATAGAAAACTATGCAAACATTTAAATGGTATGTAGATATATGTTTATTGAAGCAGAACAAGATTCCATTTGCTAAATGAAAAAAAGCAGCTTATAAAATTACATATTGTATTTTTTGGTAATACCAAATAAGTATATGGAGCAATTAGAAGAGTAACTATTAATTAATCATAGAGTGAGCACACCATAAAGGGTAGCTCTTACTGATTTTTATTGCTGCTTTTGTGTTTATTTTCATCATCATTGATATCAATTTAACAAGGATTTATTATGTTATAATCTTAAATTTCATCAGGTCAAACTTATAGATAATACAGAGTTTATGTCAATCATTTCATGCTGGGACATAGAAAAAAATATAAAATTGCTCAAATCTACTGTAAGTGACCATATGTTTTTCTACCTCGGCTTTTGTTGGTTGAAAATAATTACATCAGCGTTTATTCCCTAGTAAGGTATTCTCCAACCGACAGCTTGCTTGTGAACTTATACAAGAACTGCTCAGGTCATGGGCAGTTAAGAGGAATGGCCTCTCTTGTTGTAGAGTTTCCCTCACCAACAGAGGCCTGAAGAGGCTGTTGAATGTCAGATACTAGCAGGCCTGATTTTAGTTATAGGAGTTACCAACTTGGCCTGTATTTATCTTTCTCCTATATCCTTCATCAGAAAATAGGCTATTGCCCTCCCTAACCCTCCTTCTGTTCACCCAGGAAATATTCCCTAATGAGGACACTTTCTTGGTCCTGATGGACCAGGAAGGAGCTGATTCCTTTCTGTTTTCTTTCACCTGTAACTAAACCTTGCTGATACTTCTGTCCAAAGCCTGATTCCAATACTTGGCATCAACTATACTCCTCTAGTGTCCCTTACCCAGCTGACCTCCATGCTGGATCTCTGAGCAAAAATCTGAGCTTCAGCAACATCCAAAAGCCTCAGAGTGCACTCTAATGTCCCAAAAATGCCCAACATTATTTCCTCTACTTAAATCACTCCAAGAATTATAGGGCCACAGATCAAAGAGCCATCTGATTAACTTCTCATAACATGATAAATATGACAAACAGTGAAGTATTCTATTGCCTTATTCCAATACTATTGTCCTTTGTTTCTCCTACAAAAATTATGTATTCTAATTTTTCATAGTTTAGATCAATTTAAAGACCTGGCCTAGGAACCAATGCATGCATGTTCATATTTCCCCTGTAGAGAAAAATTATTTACCAATTGCTATTACAATTCAGCTGTGTTCAAAGCATTGTCCTTAGTGAACCTAATTATCCTCTTTCCAAATAACTGCTTATTAACTATTGGACTAACCTACTTTTAAGAGAGTGACTTACTGTATTTAAATACTATAAATAATTAAATCCAGAAAGGTTTAGCAGAGTGTGGAAGGAAGATGAAGTTACATATGGGTAAGCATTAACAAAAGAAAATATTATTAATATAAAACCAATTCTTCTTTAAGCATTATAAACATAATACATACAGCTATTAGTTGCTAAAGCAAAACACCTGTCAATTATTTATAAGAGTTTCCAATTCTAAGAAAGTATTTTACAATAAACAGATGCTACATGCTAAAATACAGAGACAGGGTGTCATCCTCAATCTAATTTTTCTAAGAGTGTCTCCCCAAGATTACTAATCACATATACATATCTGCCACTACACTTAATAAATATTTTTCTGTCATTTTTCCCACTTAGGTTTGGCAGTAGAAATTTCATTACCAGATAAGCCCATTTTAATTTAGACACAACAAAGGTAATTACTAAATTCATAATAAGATGGTTTGGTGGGGGGTCAGGATGATGATGAATCCTCAGCTTACACTTGCTGAATAGTTAATCATCCCTGCAAGGGGAGTGGACCTAAAACTTGGACAGATAAATTAAAATCTCTCTGCAATTTTATATTTGGAAGGTTTTGGCTTTGCCTGAGTCAGATATTTTTGTAAACATAAAACATAAAGCAACACGATTTTGTATTCCTATAATTCTTCATACACTGGTAAGAGCAATTTGTGAAAAAAAAGTAGCACTAACACAACTGAGACAAATTCTGTGCTTTATTCCTCCTTGTGGGTCCTCTTGCCCCATTCTCTAGGAGATATGTATCAGACTTGACAAGCAAATGCAGATACCTCATCAAAAGGAACCAGGTTAACTGCTATATGTAATTTCCAAAACTTAAATGATGGGTTTCCTAAATTAATTCACTCTTAATCAAATGACATTATGTAATGTCTTCAGATATCAACCTTAAATTATGAAGACATATATTTGAATCTGTTTTAAACATCCACAATAATTGTTAAAATTGTAAAGAGAATATAGATATGTAACTGAATTCAATCTGAAGCCTAACATTGATGTCCTCTAACTGAAGACAGTGACATCAAGATGAACAAGATTTCTCATGAGGAACAGGAATCCCATTGGTTTTGCTTTTATACTCCAAGGGCTATTGCACAATTTGGGGCAAATAGTAGATGCTGAAAAAGCAAAATTTAAATAAACTTATTCCTCTGAGCATTGTATTTTGTTTTTGTTTGATTTGGGTTTTGTTTTTCACTTTTAGTGGGGACATGGCAGGAGACCGTGGTTAGGGGGATGGATAAGGGAAAATGATAAGTGAACTGAAAGAGACCCATAGGGCAGAAGCAAGCTAACAAGGAAAAAACTCCAGTGAAGCCACTAGAAACAAATAACCAAAAGAATGAAACAAAGGGAAGAGATTTATGGGGAATTTCCACAGCCAGACATAATCTTGACAGTGTTCTCTCCCACTAGGGAGGCACCACAAGAACAGAAGTAATGAGCTTTATGAAAATTCCAAGCTATATTCCCTGTTGTGGTTCACTTTTCCATAACCAGAGAAAAGACAATTTTCTCCTTTATCTTCTTTAAAAACTGAAGTGGGTACATATTTCACACTGCTCATCTTTGAAACCTCAGAACTACTTACATTAATTTGCATACAATAATTATTTACTTAATTAACAAGCTCTCAGCTTGATTATCCCTTCAACCCTTAACAAGCTGAAAATTATATGATTCCTCTTCAAAGGAAAGACATATTCCCTAAATAGGATCTATTGCTTATAATAGGACTTACTGAACACAATTTCCACATGGCTTTTGCAGTGAGATTAAAACTGGTTCCATGACAAAGAGGAAGAAATATATTTAATACAAGAGCTCAGAAAAAGAGAAATCTCAGGTGTATCTATCACTGAAAACCCAGAAATTTTGAAATTTAGGTTATCTATAAAGCCAATATCTTTAGTAAAATTCTTAAAAGTAACAAGAAGAAAAAAATACTGAGAAGTAATATATGCCCCACAGAGCTTTTAAAAACACCAGTATTTAGAGTTACAAATGCTTTATTTAATAAGTTAGCAGAACATTTCAAAATTTAATGCTCCTGGTACATTAAGAACTTTCCCCTGTGGTTTAGGAACTAAAAATCCAAAGCAACCAATTAATCTATGAATAAAGAGAATTTTTGAAATCAATTTAATGAAAAATAGCAAGTTCCAAATCCAAAAGACCTTCTTTTACTCTGGCCACAAAATAACTCAAATGTCAAAGGGATAAAGTGAGTGGATGTAGTAAGTAAATGAGCTTAAAAACAAAATGAATTGTTCTCTTTAGGCAACAGATGAAGAAGCAATCTGGGCCAGCCCACTGCCCACTCACCAGATGTCTGACTTTGTGTCATAGCCTTGGTGTTTCAGAGCCTCAGGACTCATATAATGCGGAGTTCCAGTTAAAGTTGTGGCCAAGTCACAGGATCCCATTAGGAGTCTAGAAACTCCAAAATCCCCTAGAAATAATAATTAATCTTTATGAATACTTTAAAACATTAAAAATCAGCACTGGAAATTAAACACTGGATGTGTGTCTAATTTGATCATTTTATTATGCAATGCTTCTACTATTTTAAAGGGGAAGAAAGTGATACTTTAAATTCTATAAAGCTGGTAAATAGTTATAAAAACAAGTTTTATAGGAAAAAAAGACTGAGCCAGTACAGTGAATTATATAACCTAAAATTATTTATTTCTGGAATTATTAACAATTAGACAACTTGATATAAAATGCTTCTTCAAGTCTGAAATGATTCTGGAAGAGTTGAATATGATGATGGACAATTTTATCTGAGGAAGGGAAAGGTTTGTTCTTTAATTTACAATAAAGGGAAAATGTAAAAGACTTGAAACTACTCATGAGCATAACTATAGAAATTTGAATACACTGGCTTTTCTATTTTTGCCTCCTTAGATGAATGCTTTTATTCCTTCACTCCCTAAAAACATCTCAGATGATGATTAGATAATCTAGTAACTATGAAGTGAGGGTACAGTTCTGAAGAAATAAACACTATAAAGCCACTATATCAACATTTTAATTGTCCATGATAACTTCTTATTGCTTATGATAAAGTCAGTGGGAAACCTAGATAATTAATCAAACCAGTAAAACAAGTCTAACCACTACCAAGAAAGTGAACTCAAAGTATATTTGAGCAGGACTGCAACGTATATTTGTCAAATCAACCAAGCACATAGTAAATGTTTTATATCCCAATTTATATTGGATAATCAGAAACAAAACAATTGGGTTTAGTTGGACCCATCCGAGCAAACAAAAAATTGAGAAGTTTAAAGAAACCAATGATAACTCTAATGGTTCCATGTACCATATACTTCAGCTTGATAAAATAACATCTAGAATAATATGTAATGTTTTTGGATTACATATTTTTTAAAACTTACCAATTTTCAGGAGATTATTTTTCAAAAATATATTCTTTGATTTCAAATCTCGATGAAGTATCCTCCTACAAAAGGCAAAAAAAGGATATATGACTTCATGTAAAATATAAAATTTTGAAATTCAAATATTATATATGGTTATATGTGAAGTGATTCACAAGTTTGTGTGTATTATATATATATATATATATATATATATATATATATATATATATATATATTTTCATTCCCACTGATATATTTTATTTATTTATTTTTTTGGTAGCAGGAATTGAATCCTGGGTTGCTTAACCACTGAGCCACATTCCTCCAACCCCTTTTACATTTATGTTTTTGGGTTTTTTTTAATTTTGAGATAGGATCTTGCTAAGTTGCTTAGAACCTCACTAAGTTGTTGAGGCTGGCTTTGAATATGTATCTTTAAATTTTTTAAGCTGCTAAGCCATAAACAGTTTCAAGGAAATGTTTATTTAAATAAAGGTTTTAGAGGGGAACATATAGTTGGGAAAAGTTGGGAAATTAACAATTTTAACAGGGCAGATCGTATTATGTTTCTGTAGCATGATTTATAAAGATTCACAATATAGGAATATGTATCCCTTATAATCAAGTTGGAGATAATTTAAAAGGCACATAAATGACGGTAAGAGATGGCAGAAGGGGAAACTAGTCATTGTACCTTGATTAAATATTATTTATAACTATGGTTATTAATACAGACATTAACTTAGTATAAGGAAACCTCTTTCCCAACAAATGATTAATCTAAAGTACATGCCCACAAAATTAATAAAATTATTATTAGTTGAAAACCAGAAATACTGGTTATAAAAATAAATTGTTTCACCATTACAATTAATGATATTACAATTGTAATACATTTGTATAGTGGTTAGACCTCAACCTTCCAGAACAAGTTGAAATTCAAACTAAAGAACAGATCCAAAGAAAGGCTAAATTTAAATAGTTCACTTCATAGGAGACAAAAAGGGCACAAAATCAACCAGGCCTAAGGAATCAGAATTATGTATAATTTACTGAAGGTTATATAGCCACAAACAATTCTCACCTAGGTCTTTTCAACTATAGAAACTACGTTTAACCACTATTCTCTCCTGTCTTTATACCTAGACCTGGGTTATGCATGAGTATGTCATTAACTTTTTAATGATTTAAAACGAGAAAAATTATATATAGCAAAAGAAGGATAAATAAAACTTGGCTTATGCTTGGCTTATGCTATTAGATACCTACCCCATAACTATTCTCCTCTTCCTCTCCCTTGACACCATATCCCCTGAGCCACTAAGAAGGCTCAGCCCTATTAGCAAAAGGCAATGTATGTATATGTGTGTGTGTGTGTGTGTGTGTGTGTGTGGCGGTGGGTGTACGTATTGGGAAGTGAAGAAGCACAATGTGGTAATTCCTTTTCTCCCTTTCCCTTGGGGGTCAGTGATATGACAAAATTCTGGTCAATGTAAAGGCTTACTTTTCCAGAACATAAAATAATGAATATTATGAAAATATTGTGAACATATGTCAAATATTTTATTTAATTTATTAATTGAGTAAAGAACCAGTTAAGGTAAAAAACTGTTAGAGTTGTTGAGAAGCTACAGTATTACTAATAGGAGCACTACAAAACTGGTTAGTGACCAACAAAGCATAAACCATAATCACCAGGATTATCTCTTCTACTAGATATTATTTGCATCTCTAATGAATAAAGATATTCAAGTTTATTTCTTCTTCTGTAGTTATAAAAAAAGCCCCAACAATAGAAAAAATTTAAATTTTTTATGAGAGCTTTATACTAGTAGTAGGGTTTCTCCCATAAACTCAAACATGCATGGAATTTGATTTCAGTTCATGATTCCCCACATTCCCTCCAACCCTCCTCTCTGCCATTCTCTTTCCTCCACTCTGCTACTATTATTATTAGTGTGCTAGACTAATACTCTGCTCATCTGTTTATTTATATTTGATTGGTTCCTTTTACTTATACATATGTATGTACATTCCTACATACATGATTTTTTTAAAGAATTCATTCCACTTTACCTTCTCTTTCCCACCTCTCCACTATGCCTCTCCATTTCCTTCTACACTACTGATCTTCCCGTCATCTTCATGATATCCTATATTTCTTTCCCCCTTTCCATTATTTTACTCTAGCATGCATATATGAGAGAAAAAAATAAAGCTTTGAGTTTCTGAGTTTGGCTTACTTCATTTATATCACATACATATAAATGATATCATATAAATCATATATGTATTACTTAATCCATTTATCTGATGGTGGGCACACTGGATTGATTCTATAACTTAGATACCGTGAGTTGTACTGCTATAAATGTTGAGGTGGCTGTATAGCTCTGTATAGCTATAGTATGTTGATGTTAGAGCTTCTGGGAAGATACCAAGTAGTGGGATATCTTGGTCACATGGTATTTCCATCCCTAGTTTTTTTTGGAATCTCCATACATACTAGTCTGCAGTCCCACCAACAATGTACCATTGTATCTCTTTCCCCACAACCTTTCCAGCATTTATTATTGTTTGTATTATTTTTTTCTCACATCTTCATACATGTATTTTGTATAATGATGAGAATCTCCTTCCACCATCCATGCTATTCCCCTTCTCCCTCCCTTTCCCTCCCACCCCTATTCCCTATCTAGAGGTAATCTTCCTTCCATGCTCTCCCTGTTTGTATTCTTGATCAGTGTCATTCTAACTGTAGTTAGATGAAATCTTAGCAAACTTGTGATTTGCATTTCTGATTGCTATCGATAATAAAAATTCTCTATTTGTTGGCCATTTGTGTTTCTTCTTTTGAGAAGTTTCAGTTTAGTTCTTTTGCTCATTGGTTGGTTGGGCTATTTGTTTTTTGTTTGGTTTGGGTTTTTTTTTTAATATATTCTGTATTTTTTATATATTCTGGATACTAATCCCCTACTGGAGGAGTAGCTGGCCAAGACTTTCTTCCATTATGTAGGCTCTCTCTTTAGGCTCTTAATCATTTCCTTTGCTGTGCAGAAGCTTTTGAGTTTGATGGCATCCAAATTATTGATTCTTGCCTTCATTTCTAGCACTTTTGGGGTCTTGTTAAGGAAATTGGTGCTAGCACCAATATGATGTAGTATTGACCCTGTTTTCTTCTAGCACTTGCAAAGTTTCTGATCTAATTACTGTCTTTCATATATTTCAGTTTGAGGTTTGTGCAGGGCGAGAGCTAGCAATCTAGTTTCATTTTTCAACATATTAGCTCCAGTTTCCCCAGCACCATTTGTTAAAAAGGCGAATTTTTCTCCAAAATATATTTTTGGCACCTGTATCAAATATCAGATGGCTGTAGGAATATGGATTTGTCTCTGTGTCTTCTATTCCACTCCATTGATCTTCATGTCTATTTTGATGCCAATTCAATGCTGCTTTTATTACTATGGCTCTGTAATATAATTTGCAATCAGTTATTGTGATGCCTCCTGCTTTATCTTTCTTGTTCTCAATTACTTTGGCATTTCTGGGTCTCTTGTTCTACCAAATTAATCTAAGAATTTTTTTTTAATTCTGTGAAGAATGTCTTTGATATTTTGATGGGTTTTGTATTGAATGTGTATATTGTTTTGATAGTGTGACCATTTTGACAATATTAATTCTGCCTATCTAAGAACATGGGATGTCTTTCCATCTTCTAAGGTCTTCTTCAATTTCTTTATTCAGTGTTCTATAATTTTCATTGTAGACACTTCTACCTCCTTGATTACGTTAATTCCAAAGTGTTTCTTTTTCTTTTTCTTTTTTTTTTCTGGAGGTTATTGTGAATGGGATGATTTTCCTGATTTCTTCCTTGGCTGAATCAGTCTAGGAGTATAGGAAAGACATTGATTTATGGGTGTTGATTTTGTATACTGCCACTTTGCTGAACTCATTTATAAGGTCTAGAAATCTTCTGGTAGAGCTTTTTCTGGGTCTTTTCTTTTCCTATCTGATTCCCTTTGATTTCCCTCTCTTGCCTAATCACTCCAGCTAATGTTTTGAGGATTACGTTGAATAGGTGAGAGTGGACAGCCTTGTTTTGTTTCTGATTATAGAGAAAATGCTTTGAGTTTTTCTCCATTCAGTACGATGATGACTTTGGGTTTGTCACAAATGACCATTGTGACACTGAGGTAAGTTCCTTTCATCCACAGTTTCTCTCTTGCATCTTTAACATGAATGGGTATTGTATTTTATCAAAAGCACCCCTTTTTGCATTATTGAGATAATCAGGTGGTTCTTGTCCTTAATTTTGTTTCAGTGGTAAGTTACATTTATTGATTTGCTTATGCTGAACCAACCTTGCATCCCTGGTATGAAACCCACTTGATCCTGTTGCATTATCTTTTTGATGTGTTTTTGAATGTGACTTGGTAATATTTTATTAATGATTTTTACATCTTTGTTCATTAGGGATACTGGTATATAGTTTACTTTCCTCAATGAGTCTTTGTCTGATTTTGGTATTAGGGTTATACTGCCTTCAGAGAAGACTGGTAGAACTCAGCTGTGAAGCCATCTGGTCTTCAGCTTTTCTTTTTTGGAAGGCTTTTAATTGCCATTTCAATTTTATTACTTGAAATTCATCTGTTTAGGTTTCCTATACCTTCCAAATATAATGTGGGCAAGTCATATATGTCTAGAAATTTGTGTCTTCTAGACTTTTCAATTTATTGGAGTATAAATTTTCCAAAAGGTTCTTCTGATGATCCTCTATTTCAGAAGGGTCTATGTCGATACTTCCTTTTCACCTCTAATCTTATTGATTTGGGTCCTCTCTCTTTTGGTTATTTTGGCTAAGGGTTTATCTTATTTATATTTTTGAAGAATGAGCTCTTTGTTGCATTGATCATGTCTATTTTTTTTAATTCTCAGTTTCATTAACTTTGGTGATGATCTTAATTATTTCCTGTTTTCTAATGGTAGTGAGGTTGGTTTGTTCTTTTTCTATGGCTCTTGAGGTGGAGCATAAGCTTATATGTTTGGGACATCTCTAAATTTTTAATGTAGGCACCCAGTG